CCGATCGGCATCCCCAATGGCGTCGACCCGTCGGTCCTCGGTCCTGGCCTGGCTGCCCGCCGACGCGGTCCTCGGTCGTGCGTTCTTCCTCGTTTCTCTACCTCCCGCTCCCCCCCCCCTCCCCCCTCCCCCTGCCTCATATGGCATTCCTGTGTCGCTGACCCATGTGCCATCTTCCGCCCCAGGCGCCTGGGCCTCGCGGCGTTCCTCTCGGGGCCGATGCCCTCGGACCTGGGTGTGTGCCTATTCGAGGGCCATGGGCAGCTGGGCTTCACGCCCCTATTTGGCGACTATGAAGAGGACGACCATGCTGGGGTGGGCTTCGGCCCTGGCGGCGTGCCCGCCGAGCCGCACCAGCAGCACTCGGTGTTCGATGCGGCCCGCGTGCACTTCCTGCGTGGGTGTGCTCTGTCGGCTGGGGACAAGTTTGGCGACGGTGTGCCGCAACTGGCCCAGACCCAGTCGCTCTTTTCGAATCTCCTGTCGCGGCTGCACAACTACGGCGACGACGACATCATCAACCTGATTGCACCGCCCTCCTCGCGCCCGGCCTCCCGCTCTCCCTCCCACGGATCGGGCCTCGGGGCCAGTGGCCGTGGACAGACCCCGGCGGAAAAGCGGGCTGCCCTGCTGCAGGGCTCCTCGGTCCCGCCGCCCTCGAATGCCCGGCAGCCCGAGGACCCCGCCACGGTTCAGGTGTCCGCCGGCGCGGCGGGAGCCGCTGCCGCCGCGCACCGGGCCAAGCTGGTGCGTTTCTTCCCGCCCCCTGCTCTCTCTCTCTCTCTCTCTCTCTCTCTCTCTCTCTCTCTCTCTCTCTCGCCCTCCCTCCCCCTTGCAACATTCCCCTTCGCTGCTTTGGCCGAGTGCGGCTTTCTATTGGCATGGGGATACCCACCTGGCTGACCACTCATTTTCCTCCCTCTCCCCCCTCTTACTCTGTCCCTCTTTGTCTCGCCCGGTCCAGGCTTTGGACGAGCGTGGTCAGCGCCTGCAAGACGCGCAGCTTAAGACCGAGGAGTTGGCCGACGAGTCGCGCAACTTCGCCGACTCGTCCAAAAACCTCCGCAAGCTCATGGAGAAGAAGCGCTTCCTCTTCTGAGCTCCGTCACCAGGGCTCGCGCCCCCTTGTGTCTTTGCCTGTTGCTCTCCCTTCCCCCCCCCCCCCCCTCCTTCCCCTCCCCTCGGCGCCGAGTGCGCCATCTCTGTCCTTGTTCTGCCGGTGTCGCCGCCGTGGCCACCCCGCTCTTCGGTGCATCCCGCCTCCCCTGTATTGGTGAATACTCCAAAGATCATTGCCTCTTGCATGTTTGCGGCGTCTGTGACGCTTCCTGCTCCGCCTCCCCCCTTTCCGCTGGCGGTCTCTGCCCATGCTCGCCAGTGGGGCAAGGGCCTGCCTCGCATGAAAGAAATGCCGAGGGATGTCATCGGGGCAGCTTGATCTAGGGAGTGGGGTGGTGGTAGTGGTGGTGGTGCTGCTGGAACGGCGCCCTGCGACGCGTCCCAGGAACACAAGGCGATGGTCTATTTCTGGGTAGGATGGATGGTCAAAGAGAAAGAGGGGGGCGAAGAAAACCTCGACAGTCCCCCCCCCCCCCCCACACACACACACACGCACACACCCACCCACCCGCCTTGCCGCGTCTTTGTCTCTCTGGCCATGGTCACCCTTTTTTTTCAAGACTAGAGCAAGGACCGAGGGGGGTGGATGGGGGGAAGCACGCGAAGGGCCATGGGCAATGGATGGGTGCACGGCGCGGAAGGGAGTAGCGATTGCCCAAAAACACCGACATCCACGCATACGCTCTCGGCCCCCCCCCCCCCCCCCGCCCCGCCCCTTGACATGTGCACACACTCTAGAAGAGGGGCGTCTGGGCATGGTGCTGCAAGGGCTGGTGAGAGGTGGCGGCTGCGAGCCCGACCGAGTCGTCGCCCGGCGTCATACGGACCATGACCGGACCTTGGGACGGTGGCTGCTTGAGCGGGGCGGGCATCGGGACCGAGCCCATCGGGGCCGAGTGCCGGCTGTCGGCTCGCTCTTCGGCTGCCGGGACCACCGCGGCCAGGGCCTGAGTGGCGCCGCCAACACCACCCAAGGACAGCAGGCATTCGGCGGTGGGTTCGCGGCTGAGACCAAGTCCGAACTCATCGCCAACCACAAGGGATGGTGGTGGTGGTGGTGGTGGCAAAGGGGCAAGGAATGTAGCGGCACTTGTGCCGGGTGGCGCCATTACGCCGATGCCAGGCGGCACGGTCATCAGCGCCTGCATGTGACGAGGGATGGCCGCGGCCGGGCGCTCTGGCAGCACCACCACCGCCGCCGCCGCCGCCGCCGCCGCCGCCGACGCCGACGCCGACGCCGCCGACGCCGACGCCGGGAAGTCCAGCGCCGGGATGATGCTCGGGGTGCTTGGCAGCGACGGCCGGCCTGCGGCTGCCGTAGCCACCGGCACCGCCGGAGCCGCCGGAGCCGCCGGAGCCACAACTGGACGTGAGCGCACTGCCATGGAGCTTCCAGTCCCGCCCGCGACAGCCAGCTGCTCCAGCCAGGATCCGGCATCAGTGGCCGCCGGCGCGGTACTGATAAGCCACTCGGCCAGCTCGGCCTCTTGGCTGCTGGCCGAGGCTTGGAGGTCATCACAGTATGCCCCATTGTGGCGCTTGTTGCCGGCTGTCGGAGGCCCCGCGCGGCTCGGGATGGCCAGCACAGTGCTCGAGGCATCGCTGCTGTCGCTGCTGCCGCTGCTGCTGCTGGAGGTTTGGCGCGCGGCCAGCATCATGCGGATATTTTCCGACGGGCTTCGTGTGAAGGCATCATCCTCCAGCTGGTCGGCCGTACTCGGAGCCAAGCCGGCCAGCTGCAAGGGGGCCGGGGTCAACCGTGTGCGGCCGGCCGCCGGCTGCTCCATACCGGCGCTGGGTGTGCCGGCGGCGGCAGCGGCGGTGGCGGCGGCGGCGGCGGCCCGCTGCCGCTGCAAAGCGCTGCTGGGCGCTCGGCCAGGGCCCCGGCCGGGGGTGCCTCGCCGGGCCCCCGCGCCAAGGGCATGGTGGGTGCCGCCCGTGCCGCCGGCGCCGACGCCGGCCACTCCGGGCCCGCCGATGGAGGCGGCAGATGCCGATGCCGGGGTGGTGGTGATGATGGTCGTGGCCCCGGTGCTGAAGGGATTTTGGTTGCCCTCACCAGCCGCAGGCACGGCCGCGCCGCCGCCGCTGCTGCTGCCGCCGCCGCCGATGCTGGCCGGTGGCCGGTTGTGGGGAAGATGGCCGATGGCCACCATCGGCACCCCGGCCGAGTAGGTGCGCAAGTGCTGGGCCTCCGAGACCAGGCCCATGCCCGAGCCGTGGGAAACGCCGCGGCCATGCCACCCTCCGCCCCCGAGAACTCCCGGCCCCCGGGGGGGGAGCAGCCCCTCGCCGGGGGTCCCGGCATCCAGGCTGCCGATGGCCGGGCTGAAGGCATACCGCTCGGCCGAAATCGGGCCATCAAGCGACTCGGAACGGGGCAACCCCATGCCACCGACGCCGGCCGGCAGCGCAGATGCTCCCGGGGTGGTGGTAGTGGCGGGGGCGGTGGCGGTCATGGCACGCGTGCCGGGGCCGGGGCCGGCCCCGGGGCCCATGGTGGCCGATGTGGCCCCCAGACGCGGGTCCAGCCAGGTGGTGGTCCGGCTATTGTGATCCACGAAGAAGACCCGGCCCTCGAGGGTGCGCGCACGCTGCCAGCCGGCCGGCAGGGGCCGAAGGAGATCCTCCGCCGCCGACAGGGCCCCGAGCCCCGGCGACGGGACAGGACCCAGGGCCGCCACGCCCAGGGCCCCGGAGGCCCCGGGCCCGGCCATCATCATCCCGGGTGGGCTGGCACTGCGGCTGTTGCCGGCGCTGCTGCTGGCGCTGCTGCTGCCGGGGCCGCCGGTGCTCATGCCACTGGCCGCGACCAGGCCGCCGGTTGGCGACCGCCGGTACGTCACCGTCCGATCGACACCGGTGCCGGGGGTCATGCCGAAGCGCCCGAGCGAGCTGCTACTGGCCGAGATGACCACCCCACAGGGATCCGAGTCGCTGGCCTCGGTGGCGGACGTCAGCGGGCCGGACAGGTCGCCGGGGTCCTCGGCCCGGGCCCCATTGGCGTGGAGATCCGCCCCGATGCCCAGCGGTGGGCTGTAGCCCGGGCCGGCAAAGCGCCCGGCCCCGGCGGCCGCCGCGGTGCCCGGCCCCGGCGGGCCGGCTCCTCCCGGGGCCACCTTCGACCGGGAGAACCGCGGGTACTCGCGGTTGGGGCTGGCGCAGTAGACCGAGGATTTGGCAAAGTAGTCGGTGGAGGCGCGCCGGGTGCCGGCCGCGGCCAGGGTGGCCGCCGCGGCTCCGCCGGCGGGCGTGCCAGGGGGGCCGGCACTGCTTGGCAGGCCGTCGCCATATCCGGCCGCGGGCCCGGCCCCGGCGGCCGACGGGCCGCCCATGTTCGGGCCGATGCCGGCCATCAGCATGGCAGCCGTGGCGGCGGCCGCCGCGGCGGCGGCCGTACTCGACATGGCCATGCTCGGGTCGTCGAGCAGGTGCCGGCCGAGCGGCGGAAAGGGCGGGCTCGAAGGCCCGACAGCGGAAAGCTGGGCCGGAGGAATCCGAGCAGAAGAAAAGACAGCAGACGCACAGTCATCTGTTAGCCAAATGCCAACTTTCATGGGCCGGGATGGGGCGGATGAGGGCGGCCCGGATGGCCCCGAGGGGCAGGGAGAAAGCGCAAGCACCGGGAACAGCGGGGATGATGCCCAACCATGGCTGGGCCAAGAGACGACGGCACATACCCGACTAGACATGATCTTGGTCCTCAAGGCGACATTGGACTTGTGGCGCATGTCCAGATAGCGACGGAGGTTCAGCAGAAAGAGACCGATGGCGAGAAATGCCGGCAGCAGGAATATCAGGAGCTGCATCTCGCCCGGTCGGCTGCTGTCGGCCAGGGAGGGATGCCTGGTGAATGTCAGCGATGCGGAGGAGGGGGGGGGGGGATGCAGGCGTAAAAGGGCGTCAGTATGTGGCAAGGGCCGGCGGGTATGGCGGTGAGATTGGCCCACGCCCGGGGGAGGGGGGGAGCTTGGAAAAGGGGGGGGGGGCGATATATCGCGAGGCAAGGAAGCTCGAACACACAGCTCCATGAAGCTAACCCGATTGCCAGCGGGAGTGATTCGAAGACCTGAGGGAGGACACCGCCGGCAGGGGGTCTGGTGTCACTCTTTCCTTTGTCC